TTGCCTATTCATTGCTATGATCTGTAGTATATATGAAGTTAGGATAATACAAATTAGATTGTGTAATTTGAGCATAAGATAGTTTATGAAGGCGATTTTTAGAGTTGTCTGTACGAGTTAGTATATCTTTTTCAGAACTAGTTTCAGTATCATCCATAATTGTGTCATGTGTTTTCGATGATAAGGGTGATAGAGGTTGGCTATCCATATCTAGATAGTTTTAGTCTTGTGTAATTGTAGTATCAATACTCATAGATATACTATATGATGCAGTTTGTTAAACTGAAAGTTGTATAGTATGTTGTCTTTCTGTTGTATTAGTTATTTTTGTATTGTTAGTATTACTAGTTGAGTAGTTAGATGTTGCACTAGTCTGGGCGTTTGTATTGTTTAGAGGAGTATTCATGTTTGAGGTCTGTTCGATGTTGGTAGTAGTACTTTCATTTAATGTAGTACTACATGTAGAAGATATAGTACGTGTATTTGGATTAGTTGTTGTAAGTATATTGTTGGAAGGCATATTGCTGAGAAGGAGAATAGGGTCATAAGTAATGCTAGAAAGAGCAGAAGTTTGTTTGTCAGCGTTGGCCTTTAGGTATTGGTCTTTAGTATTTTTGTATGTTTGTACAAGTAATGAGTTAAGTGTGTTGTTAGTAGGAATACTAATGGCTGCTATAGTAACTATACTTAATTGTAATTTTGAGAGCGTGAAGAGGAATATAGAGTTGCTATTTGTGCTATCATCAATTTAGTATTTTGAGTAAAGGGAAATATTTTCGATAAAGGTATTTTTCTTTTCTTCTGTTGTAAAGAGTTAGTTTTGGAAGCTTAGAATAGTGAATGTAACAAGGAAGGTTAGTTCATTTGCGTTAATAATAGTAATGTCGAGGATTTCTTTTGAGTATATATTATTATTATCGATATTATTATGGTATTTAGTAGTAGATATGTTCATTATTGTATTAGTGTTTGATGTGTTTGTTGTTGTTGTTATGAGGTTGTTGTTGTTATTGTTGTTGTTATTCATAAGGATGTTGTTGTTAATTATATTGAGGCGAAGCCTCTTTTCTATCCTTTGGTCAGTATTCTTCAGTGTCTCAGTATTTCTATTATTTTTGTTTAATAGATTTGAGTTGTAGTTTGATTTTCTTTTAGTTAGGTTCCTTCCAGTAGGAAGGTTTTCTTTGTCAAAAATTGTAGAAATAATAATTTTTTGTTTTGGCATAGTAGTAAAAAGTTTAGTACAGAAAAGAGTATAGATAACTTTATCCTAGTTATCTCTTTTCATTTATTTCTTTATACTTAAATATCAGATATTTATTAGATTTCCTTCTTGTTCTGTTTTTGTTAAATAGATTAATACACTACTTTATAGTTAAGGTTTTGTGATCACTTTCTGTTACTTCTTTTATATTTATAACCTTTGGAGCTAAGAAGATATTCAGAATGTTTTGTGATATTAGTATATCATCAATTTGACTAGAGAGTTGAGATCTTTCTCAAGTTAGTATATTAATTCCAAAGGTCTTTAGTATGCTTTGGAGGTCAGCTTTCTAAAGTTTATAGAGTAGTTTGACAATATTATCTTTTCTTTCTAAGTTTGAGTTAAAATCACCAAGGATTATAAGTTGCAAATTATGCTTGTTTGTATATTATATTTAGTTGAATATCTTTTAATATATTGCTTCCAGGAAGGAGCTATTGTTCAAAAGAAGATAAATAAAGATGATTCTAAAATAGTTATTGTTTAGTAGAAATAGATTAATTATAATAGTAGTACTAGAAAATAATATGATATTATGAATATATAGTTGAAGGTAATTTTTGATAGCAATTGCTGTACCTATACTAGCTTCTCATTTTTGTGCTTTATCAGCAGTTATATTAGATGTAAAAAGTTGGTAATAAGGATTGTTGAGTATATGTTTAGTAAACTTTGAATATGCTAGCTTCATTTCTGTAATACTAACTATATCAAAGTGATTTGTATTACAGAATTCTATCTATTGTTGGAATTTAATAGTATTGTTTATTCCTTGTATATTGTGTATTGTGATTATTAGAAAGGTAGAATATTTTTTTTTTTTTTTTTTTACTTTATACAAATACCATTAGCTAAACTTTTATTAGTATTGATAGTGAGTAAATAATACATATTGTAAGAGTACAACTAACTATATGTATAACTTTAGATTGTCTAATTTAAGTAGTCTGCCTGAAGGTTCTATACTAGCTACTATACCTGCAATTTATTTGAAGATTACCTATTTAAACTCTCTGGCCCTATAATACTTACTCGTATTTTATGCTTATTTTACTAAAGTTTGCCTAACTCTTTACTACTTCTCTTCTTGGAAGACACCCGAGCTGATATTAGTCTACAAACTTTATGATTCAGAGCCTAGGCCCTATCACAAGTTACCTCTTCACTAACTCTCTAATTGATGGGGTGCTATTTATTTAACTATGCTATGCTATATCCCAATTAGCTTACATATACCCTTGTTCAATGTTCATATAAACCTAGTTCTTACTATAGCTTTTTACCAAGTTGGTCATCTGTGCTTCTAGATATCACATAAGATAGGCCTTCTCAAATCTGGTTATCACTCAAATTGGTATTGCTATAAGTCATCTGTGCCTCCAGATATCACACAGAACAGACTCTCCCAAATTTAGTTAGCTGCTAAACCAGATTGGTATTGCTATATAACTTCATGTAATAGACTTATGCGTACTCATTTTGCTAATCCTTCTGTATGTAGATTTCTTAATAGACTTACTCATATCCTAGTTACTGATCTTTTCATATGTAGATTTTTATCCTTAGATCAAATATTAACTAGTATGACTATTAAAATCTATACTACTTCACCTAACTCAGGATTTCTACTTTATAGATCACCTGTTTGTAGATTCTATCAAGATTTATTCATGTAATGTTATGTTTCTCAGATGCTCTGTCATATTTCCAATATCTAAATAATATTAGTATAACATGATTTACAGGGTTACAACCTCCAGAAACAGACAGGGTTTACTGTAAGTTGAATACAGATGTCTAGATAATTATTCAATTCTGTTGACAGTAGGATTTGAACCCTAGACCTTTTGCATAGTGGTCTGACAACCTAACCACTACATTAAGATCACCAGATCTGAAAGGTAAAATGTTGTTTGATAGTATTAGATAGTACTTTAGTAGTCATCAGTATTGTCAAAAATCTCCTAAGATGGTACTAGGAGAGAAGATAGTTTAAGTAGAGTCTCTAGAATATTACTAAAGTTGAAGTATTTGTATAGAATATCAAGAGTTAGAGTTACTGCAATTTGTTCTATAATTGGTAAGGTGATTTGTATTGTATCTACTTCCTTTGTTTGAAGGTAGTTATGTATTTCTTTTACTAATTCTAGAAGTTGGATTTTGTCCTCTTAGTCTATATTTGTTTTATTTGTTTTGTTTTAAAGGTCTATTTAAGTTTCTGGTAGTCTAATAAAATAATAGTACTAATGAAACATTCTTGCTGTTTTTCTTACTAGTTTTGGCAAAGTAATTAGTATTATGAGATTGAAGTCTTCTATAAGGCTAGAGTTTTCAGAGAGCTAGAGTTTATTTGTTAGATTTGTTGTCATTATTGTAGAAGGTAAAGGTAAACTAAATTGATAATAAGGTCTTGTTTCTTGTACAAATTTACTTGCTTCGTTATTATTTTCAATTAGATAACTGAAGATAGTATTAGTTTTGATCTTTGTAGGATCTGAGAAAAGTCTTGGCTTTGGTTTAAAGAAATCATTAGAGATTTGTTTAAATAAGTAATACTCCCTAAGCATTTTAACAATTTGCAAGAGTAGTATATTCAGCTCAGTTAGGTCAATAGAAAAAAGACTTTGACTCTTGAGTTAAGCTTCTAGTAGGCTAAAAGAAGTGGTTCCTTTAGTTTAGAAAGATTAAAGTAGGTAGGAGGAATAGTTTTAAGTTTATAGTGATCTTGAAGCTTTCTCTTATAATAAGTAAGGTTTCAGAGTACTTTTCAACTTGTATTAGAAAAAGATCTTGTAGTGATGAGTCTAAGTCTTTAGGCCTATTTAAGAGAGAAGGAAGTACTTTGAAGTAGCTGTTAGGCAGTATTTTAAATTTGAATAAAGCATAGAGATATATGACAACTGCTCTGGTTTCTAATCTTTTAGTGATCAGCAATTTAAAGGAGAAGATTTCTACTTATATTATCTGGTATTAATTCAGATAATACAAGAAGTTTAGATAAGATCTTTTCTATTGCCTGATCTATAATTTCTCTTAATTCTGATAGTTCAAGTAGTGTAGTATCTCTTATAAAACTCTTACAATATCTTATTATGCTATATATTTTTTCTAGCAACTGACTTCTGAAGTCTATATTGGTTAAATAATTCATTATAAGTTTTTGTCTTAGTTTTGTATAGATCAAATCTCTAGTAGGTCTATCTGTGATAGTTATATCATGTTGGTCTTTGTATCTATTTAGTACTTGAGTAAAGAGTTGCTCATATTGAATTTAGTGAACTGGTTTAGAATATTGACTCTTGTGTAAGTAGTAAAGAATGCTATATCTCTATATTTGAATTTGAGTGCGATTGTTTGAAGAACTATATATTATGTTAGTATCTGTCACAAGGTTAAACAATCAACATAGTAACTGTAATCTATCTCGAATAGCACTTCTAATACGATGAGTCTCACTTGGCACGGAACTCACACTCTGACACTCTTACACTCCAATTCACATAAAAGTAATTTCTTTTTAAGATTCGATATTCTTCTTTATTAATTAAGTGACTGACTTTTATTTATTTACATTCTCTATTCTTATACTAAAAATATTTATTACATACTTTGTGCAACATTTTAACTATTTTCTATAATTAATAAAATAAACTTTTAATTTTCTGTAATATCATCATTATTACGAAATTGGTATCATAGTATCTTCTATACCCGATCTTACTAATACTACCCAATGCTATACCCTTTCTTATTTGATCATATGATCTCGCGAATCATTTGATCTATATACCTGTTAGCCTTTACCCTTTTTAACCTATTACATATTTCATCATCTATTTGCATCTCTCTTATTAAATACAAAGGTTCTTCATGAACTACGTGATATGAGCTGGACCCCCATTGGTCCTCATCCCTGAGGGCCAGATCATTTTCATTTGATAGTTCTCTAGCTCGGTTTGAAGGCTCTTCTTCCTAGACAAATAACCTTTTTACTCTATTCCTTGTTATAGGGTCTTTTAATTCACAGCTATCTAATTCATTCAAATATACCTGCTCATATTTTCCAATGTTCCATACCTTATATGGTCCCATCTACTGGTAATCCAATTTTTGAGGTGACGTTTCTAAAGTTGAGTCATATATTAGAACTAGATCCCCGATTTGATAAGTTTCTTTTACCTTTGACTTTCTGTTATATATTTCTTTCCATCATTGCCTCAATTCGTCTTTTTTAATTTGTGCTTTCCTCAAATCTTCTACTATTCCTTTGATCTGTTAGTTCTGTATTCCAACAATTCATCCGTTGACCATTCTTCTTTTCCAATATATACTTAATAACTTTCTATCATCAACTGGATTGGTGTCACAGCATCTCATCCGTATACCAGACAAAATAGCGAGTACCCCAAATCATTCACTGTTACATTAATAGCCCAGATTGCACTTCTTACATACTCATGCTATTTGTTCTGCTTCTCTGCACAGATTTTTCGTATAATTCTTGTGAACTTTTGTACTGTGCACTCTGCATGCCCATTCGCTTCTGGATGATAACTTGCCACAAACCTCTGATTTATATTTAGCCTTATAGCCAATTCAGCCAATATATTGTTCTTGAATTCTGTTCCTCTGTCTGAAACCAATATTGTGAAACACCCATATCTTGTTATAATTTCATCCCAAATAAATTGAGCTATCATATTTGCATTCTTTTTCCTTAACGCTTTTCCTTCCACATATCTGAACAACTCTTCCACAGCTATTACCATGTGTTCATGCCCTCCACTTGTTCTAGGCAATGGCCCTAAACAATTAATATATAATTTGTAAAATATCCAACTCATTGCAGTTACATGAATTGGTTCTCTCACTGACTTTGTTGCACATCTTTGATATTGTATACATGATTTCATATATTTCTTTGCATCCTCATATACATTACCAGATACCCAACTATAGTTCATCAATATTTTCCTAGCAGTCCCATTAATACCATGATGTCCTTCTTCTTCAGCTATCCCTCGGTGATTCGCTATTAATATAGTATATTTTTCCTCATCATCAAATATTACATACTTTGGTGGAACACCACCTTTTCCTCTCTTATATAAATTTTCTCCAATTATACAATATCGTTTCATCTTTCACCTCAATTGTGACAAATCATGTGACTTCACATTATTTTCCCATTCAAGATATTGCAAATATCCTTTTATCTATATCAACTCTTACACCTGCTTATTTAACATATCTACTCTCATTAGCATCACATTTACAAATTCTTCATCATCCTCTTTTCCATTTTCACAATCCCTAGGGTATCTTGATATTCCATCGGCATTGCCATACCTCTTTCTACTCTTGTAATACACTTCAAATTTGAATGCTTGTAGCACCAATACCTAACGCATCAACCTTCCCTTTAACTCTGCTTTATTAAATAGCTATTCTAAAGCTTGATGATCTACCTATATATTAAATTTTGTCCCTCCAATATATCGTTTATTCATTTTAAACCCGAAAACAATTATCAAGCATTCCTTCTCCGTTACCATATAATTTATTTCATGTTTATTTAATTTTCTTAATTCGAAAGTTATGGGTCTTAAATTTTCATCTTCATCAGCTTGCTCTAATACTGCACCTATTGATATATCACATGCGTCGGTGTACAATTGATACTGTTTTTTTTCCATTTTTGTACCTTCCTAATTTGGCCTTTTTAAAACTACATCTTCCAATAATTTTCTTTTTAATTGTTTGAATGACTCTTTTTGTTCTTTTCCCTAATAAAATTTACAATCCTTTCGCATCAGGTCTGTCAATAGCCTTGCAATTTTACTAAAGTTTCTTATAAAGCGTCTATAGTACCCTACAGTCTCATGGAATGATCTTATCTCACTTTGATTCTTTGGCTCTAGCCACTCTTGTATCCTTTTTAATCCTTTACTGTCCACTTTTATTCCTTTTTTACTTACTACATAACCATACATATTTAATTCTTTACATGCTATATAACATTTCTTCGTAGCAAATGTTAGTCTAGCCTTTTCAAATATCTTAGCCAGTTTAATAAATATGTCTACATGATCCTTTAAGTCTCTATTGGTCCATAACCCAACATCATCTTAGTATGCTGCAGCTAACCTTTTCCACCTTTCGTCTTTTAGAACCAAATCCATTAACCTCTGGAAGGTTTCACTGGCATTCTTCAATCCCATACATATCACAGTATACCGTAAGATACCTAATGTTGTTGATACTGCCACCTTATCTCATTCTCCTTCACATATTCATATCTGCCAGTAACTTTTAAATGCATCGACACTAGAATACTATTCGTGTCTGGCTGCTTTTTCCAGAATATTTCTTATGATTGGGAGTGGATAACTATCTTTTATTATATATTTATTTAATGGCTTCATATTACCAACAGCACGTATTCGATCTGTTCCACCTTCCTTTTTATTCATAGGGAAACAATGCTACATATAAGGTCTGTTACCCTCTTCTAATAATCCATACTTAATTATTTCCTTAAGGTGGTCTTCGAATAATTATGCTTTCTCTAGGTTATTGACCCTAATTAGTCGAAGCTTCATAGTTGTACTACTGCATCCCCCGTTCGTACTTCATATTTCACTAGATTAGTACGTCCTAATTCAGACAAGTTAAAAGTGAACGTTTTTGATACTTCTTTCACTAATCAGCCCTTAATATACTCTTTTTCTTCTGGTGAGAGATTGGACCCATAGTTAAGTAAATTCGTATTTTCTATCATTAATTTTTGTAGTACTACTGGCTTTAACAATTCTGATTGTTTAGTTTCCAATTCCTCTTTATCGTTCGAGGTTTGTTCCTTGTTTTCTATAATTTGGAACCTTCTTACAGCTGTTACTTGATTTATTTCTTCGTCATCATTTTCATCTGATCTATCATCACTATCGTCTTCCTTCTCTATTCAGCTCTATAGCACTTCTGTGACAATAAATGACGATTCTCTATTTATCGACAATACAGTGCACCAATATTCATTCTTCTTCCAATAAAGGCTATACTGTGCATCTGTCAACTATGGTATTCTAAGCAAAACATCAAAACTTGCTGAATCTATTATATAAAAACTTTGATTCGTCTTAACTCCTTCCATTTTGACTTCAACTCGAGGTATATATCCTATGAATTTACTTATTCTATCATCTGCTATTCTTCTCTTTCCATATACACAATCCTATCTAAATTCTCTTTTCTTTGCATAACTTTCATGTATTAAATTTAGGTGGGAACTAGGATCAATCAGTACATTAATAAGATCACTATTTATCAATGCGGGCCACACAGGTACAATCTTATTCTTACTTTCTTGCATTTTATTTCCTTTGACCAATCGTAATCTAACATCCATGTCTATGACATCATCCTCTCTCCTTTTTCGTGCCAACGCTTTCATTACTTTGCTTCTTGTCTTGGGTGACCATTTAAACAGTTGCTCAAGTGAGATGATAAGCTTTTGATCAGCAATAGCCTTTAAGATATCAAGGTTTTCAGTCATATCTGATAATGGTATATTTATTACAGTTTCCTTATTCTTTCTCTTCTGACTTAGTGGTCACATTATTTCATTTTGTATTACTTCTAAAACCTTTTGTGTTCTTCCCCTTTTATTAGAGTTTTCACTTGTTACATCATTCTGTTTTCTTTTCCCTAAGTTTCTAACTTCTGCTAGGCTTTGATCTACATCGTTGACTAACTCAACCATTAAGTATTTACCATTTTCATCCAACTCCTCTTTTGTGAAGTCCACTAGACGTACGTTGGGGTCCTTTTGCTTTTCATTTTCTTTGTTCGAGCTTTGGTCCTTTTTCTGATGTTCTTCGAATTTGTTCGTATATTGACTTTTCAACACTTTTTCTGGACAATCACGTGATATATGACTATCCTTTTGACATGCATAACATCGAAACCCTGAATTTTGCTCATTCTGTTTTTGTAAATTATCTTTTTTTGTTAAGTCTTTCATCATTCTGGTCATTTCTTTAATTGCGTCTTTTATTTCTTGAATATCGTTATCAGTTTCTTCTCAACTCACAATATTTTTAAGGTTTCCATCGCTCTCGTCAACTCTTCAATATCAATTATAATATTTTCATTCATTCCTTCTATTAGCATCTTGTTTACCCTTTGCATATTATATTCATTATCTTTGTTATACCTTTTAATTTTTACAGCTAAATTCGTTACTTCATTATAATTGGATGAAAAATGCTCTTCTACCTTCGATCAATATTCTCTTTTAATTCCGCAATGAACTATTTCTGTTTCTCTCTATCACGTACTTCATCTTTTATTATATAAGCAAGTGACTCGAATCTGTTGAAATACCCAACTACAGATTCATTATCTTTTTGCTTTATTCTCATCAACCTTGCGACCTTTTCTTCCACATAAAATTTCGTTTTCGTGGTCTTTTCTATTTTATCTTTTAAATTCACCCAACTTTTCGCACTTTTTATTAATTCACGTACTCATATCCTTACTTTATCTGCAACATGTAAACTAACCACCTTTTTCTTTCTATTGTCGTCCCACTGCTTTGACTCTGCATACATCTCAAAGTCGAAGATAAAGTCCTCTATGTCCTCATTTTCATTACCGTGATAAAACAGTTTGTGAAATCCTGAGCTATTATAATTTATCATTTCACAAAAGGCTTGGCTTGATGTCCTTTATTCGTTTGTTGAGAGCAACTGTAACCTTGCAATTAGTATTCCTTTTCTTTTGAACTCGCTATTATGTTTTTATATTGTTATGTTTCTCTTTTTTTTTTTTTTTTTTTTTTTTTTTTTTTTTTTTTTTTTTTTTTTTTTTTTTTTTTTTTTTTTTTTTTTTTGAGCGGCATTTATGTTTGCGATAACGACTAACCTAAAAAGCAATGATTAAAGTTCATGGAATATTGAAATAGAGAATAATAAACCCAAAAAAAGAGCTTTTTTGATGGGCTGAGGTTATCGCGTAAGAAAGAAAAAAAAAAATGGAAAAACTAGATATTTCCGAAATTATAAATTTTAAATTAATAAAAGATCGTGTTATAAATAACCCTTTCATCCTTACCTTAGAATAAACATGCTGTATTGCACTATCTTTCCCAAACTTGTACCAAACATAACGCCTAAAGTATGGCATTTTTTTTGTCGTTAATTTAGTTTCAAAATATCAAAATAAAGCGCCCAAAAGTATACACATCCGACCAAAATTACCTTAAATAAGTAATATTTCCAAGCATTGTGTTTATCCTTTACAATTGATTAATAATAATTCTTAGAAAAACTTAAATCGTGATCAAATAAACTATTAAAAATCAAACTGCCACCAAATTTCTTTGTCTACTTACAGTATTTGTGTAATTAAAATTTTAATAAAGCAAGCTTATTAGAGACAATGGTATATATATTATTTTGGCAGAGTTATATAAGAGTAATCAGAGGCTAATTGGTGATAATAATAACGTTTTAACTTCACAGTCGGATATCGCAATTAAATATTAGTCCGATTACATAATATAGGTATTACAATGATTAAGTTACAACATAATAAAATGGTTAAGAGGTAGTTCGGTTCTGAAAGTATAAAAAATAGCAAA